ATTATATATATATATATATATATATATATATATATATATATATTATATATATATTAATTGTTTAATATGAACAAAACAGCACTCAGATTTGTTTAACACAACTTTATTTTATGATTACAGACGTTTCGAGACCATGGTGTGTCTCATCTTCAGTGTAATTTCAAAAACAGTTACTTATATACTACACATTCTTTAATAATTTATTTAAATTTTATTTAAATTTTTGGTATACAAAAAACACAACTATTCCTTGCAATGCTTGACACGTACTAAAGAAACATAACACTTACAGAAATATTCTAAACAAATTTGAAGTACTTATATAGATGGAGACAGAGAGGGTATCATTATAATGTAAAACAAAGGAGTGCTATCGCATACAAAATCGATTATAAAAATGAAAAAACAAGTAATTTATTGAAAAGAATAAGATAAATGAAAAAAATTATAAATTATTAATGATGTTTATATAAGTGTCATGTAAAATATTTGTGTCAGTTCTTAGATTTATGCTATTGTTAGTCCGAACTATTACATTGATTCTGCCATGCTCCGTTTAAATAAGTCTTTCTCATGGAATAAAATTTGGGGATTGTCAAAATCAAACTTATGGTGGTGATATTAGTCATGATCCACAAGTGTACTTTAAATTTTTTGTTTATATTTTTTCCACATTGTAATTCATGTTGCCTGAGTCTCTTTTCTAAGTTCTGGCAGGTCTGGCAATATAAGAGCAATGACAAATCCAAACAATTTACTTATAAAATATATCTTTCTTTTTGTTAATGGAGTTTCATCTTTAATTTTGGAATATAAAAATTTTAATTGTTTTAATGAGAGAAAAAAGTAATACGAATATTGTGTTTTTTGAAAAGTCTTTTTGATAATTGGTTAAAATTTTGTCAAGATATGGAAAATTAATGAAAAAAGTTTTTTCAGGAACACTTGTTTTCCAGGCTCTTCCGGTTCTTATCAAAAAGTTCAAGTAATTTTGCGACTCTATTTTTAATAATTGGACAAATTAACTTATATGGAAAATTATTGCCAAGTAGGATCGTTTTAACTAATTTTATGTTTGTATCATAAAACAGGGGATCAGAATAAAATAGCGTGATCTACAAGATTTAGAATGGTAGAAATTTTTATATTGAGAGGAACATGCGAATTAAAATTAATGTATCTCCCGGACCAACTATCTTTTCTGTACCAGTCTGTATAACATACACCGCCTCTATTAATGAGTTTTACGTCAAGAAAATGTAACGTCGAATCATTTTCAAGTTCCTGAGTGAATTGTAAAAAGAATTGTACTCATTGAATTTGTTGAAAACATTATCTATATTTTTTTATTAAGTAATATTAATGTGTCATCGACATATCTGAAATAGACCATAGGTTTGGAAGGTAAAGAATTTAAGACATGATTTTCCAAATCTTGTAATACTAAATCCGCCAAAACAGGACTTAATGGGCTGCCCATTGGACAACCTCTCTTCATCGTATAATATTTTTTATTAAAAGTGAAATATGATGCTTTTAAAAGTAATTCTATTCCTGAAATAAAAATTTCCATCGGTAAACAAGTGAATTCAACTATTTGTATCCATCTTTTCTTTATAGCTGTAATAATTAGATCATGCGGAAGATTATTAAATAAATTAATGACGTCAAGACTCATAAAGGAACAATCAGGAGGAATTACTTTATGTTTATATGTTCTATTAACTGGGAAAGAGTTATTTAAACGGTATGGAGAATCTATGGTGACATTCTTTAAAATATCTGAAAAATATTTTGCTAAAAAGTAGTATGGCGAATCAATGTAGGAAACAATTGGTCTAAATGGGCAATTAGGTTTATGGATCTTTGGAAGGCAATAGAATTTTGGGGTTAAAGGATGTTGTACTTTTAACTTTAATGATATGGTATTATTAATATGTCCCTTTTCTCTAATAAATTTATAAATTTAAAAAACCTGTCTAGGTGTGATAGTTGTTCGGATCCGATGCCAATTCTTCATATAGAGATTATCACTGAGAATTTTCTTTGCTTCTTTATCATATTCCTCTTTTAACAAAACCACTGAAAATGTTTCCTTTATCTGCCTTACACACTAATAATTGTTTGTTATCTTGAAGAAATTTTTTTGTAGCTATGATGTCCGGTAGATATAAGATGTATCATTCTTGCACTTACTTTGTTTTTGTGAGTTTTTGAAATGTTGTAAAAGTTCATTAACATAAATCTTATCCGTTCGATTTCTTTTCCTTCTGGATCTTTGATTAATTTAAGGCCGGCTTCTAGGCTGCTAATAACTTTAATTGAATCATTGAATGTTAAATTTTTTGTTGAATACAAAATTCAAGTTAATAGTTCGGACTAACAATAGCATAAATCTAAGAACTGACACAAATATTTTACATGACACTTATATAAACATCATTAATAATTTATAAATTTTTTCATTTATCTTATTCTTTCAATAAATTAATTTTGTTTTTTCATTTTTATCGATTTTGTATGCGATAGCACTCCTTTTGTTTACATTATAATGATACCTCTCTGTCTCCATCTATATAAGTACTTCAAATTTGTTTAGAATATTTCTGTAAGTGTTATATGTTCTTTAGTACTGTGTCAAGCATTGCAAGGAATAGTTGGGTTTTTTTGTATACCAAAAATTAAATAAAATTTAAATAAATTATAAAGAAGAATGTGTAGTATATAAGTAACTGTTTTTGAAATTACACTGAAGATGAGGACACACCATGGTCTCGAAACGTCTGTAATCATAAAATAAAGTTGTGTTAAACAAATCTGAGTGCTGTTTTGTTCATATTAAAACAATTAATATTCGTTCCACTCATATCATAAAATTCTATAATATATATATATATATATATATATATATTTACATTTATCAATAAATTGAAAATGAAATTTAAAAAAATAGAAAAATGTTTCTAAATATTTTAAATATGATAATTTCTTTTGTTTTTCATGATCATACCTCATTATCAATTATAAGAACAACAGTTTTATTCTCCAAGTCCAGGAGTTGTACTCCAATTTTCTCAGCAATATAATGGTACATTTCTGAATCCAATGCCAGCAAGGATAAACTTCTATTGTTCTGACAAGCAAGCCCAGATATATTTGGAGCATCTGAAAATGAAGATGAGATTATTATGTGTCGATGACAAACACCATTTTTTATTACTTTATCTTGTAGTAAATTAATATTAACCTTTATTATAATTTGTCTCAAAGAAAACGGGTTTACTCTGCAAATCAGCTTCCAGTAACAGCAGACACTCATTTGTTTCCTTAATTTTGTGCAAGTTTTCCGCACTATAATAATCATCTACCTTGCTAGAGTAAAAATTTGTATTAATATTTTATTCTTTATATTTGCAAGCACACATACATAATCAACCCAATTCAACCATAAGTCAATAGCAACTTATCCCATGGTACATGGAGATTACCTAAAATTATTGATAATTTTTTTCTCAGCATCATTTTTATTGCATCTATCATAAATATGCTCGCCATGTTTCTCATTTTCATATTTTTCAATAAAACAATGTTTATCCAATACTGAACATACATTGTTATTTGGATCTTTAGATGTATTGAACCATTTGCTAACAGTGATGGAAACTTCTATGTTTTCTACTACATTTTTTCGCATCTGATTATTTGATTTTGCAAGCAATTCTTCACAGAATTTTACTTTTTCATAGTACCTCTCTTGATTCTCTATAGAAAAAAAATCAATGCCTATAAGCTGAGTTTAATATTAATATATATTCGAATTTCTTTTTTTAATCTTACTTGCTCTCGTTAATTGAATATATTTTGATAACTGAGCAACCCAAGGGTCATTATTACAATTATAATATTCCAGACCAATATGCTTCAGCTAAAAAGTAACATATATATTTATTTATATATATATATATATATATGAGGTGTGTTCAAAAAGTACCCGGAATTACTAATAATTAAATTTCGCGGGTCTGGAGTGTCTGATTGTCAAAAATTTTTTTTATTGTGTTGGTATACATGCCCCTAAAGTATGATGAAATTTTCAGCTATATTCACTGTTTACTTTGTCTGTGGTAGTCGCTAAGGTTCGACGTGTTTTCTGAGCTCGGCGATTTTTTACAATGGAAGAATTGAAAAGTCAAAGAATTTGTATTAAATTTTGCGTAAAAAAAGAAATAAAGTGTTGCAAAGTGCAAAAAATTCACCAGATATGGCTCCGTGTGACTTTTTCCTATTCCCAAAGTTGAAGAGACCCATGAAAGGACGGCGGTTTTCCTCGATTGAAGAAAATCGCTGAGAGTGCTCAAGGACATATCAAAAAGTGAATATCAAGGGTGCTTCGAAAATTGGAAAAAACGCTGGCATAAGTGTATATATCTGGGGGGGACTACTTTTGAAGGGGACCACATTATGTAGACGAATAAATAAATATTTTTTTGAAAAAACGAAAATTCCGGGTACTTTTTGAACAGACCTCGTATATATATATATAAATTTAATTATTATTTATTTACTCAAGCACTCAAATAGACAATAGATCGAATATGAATGTCAATAGTCAGCTAAAGTCTGTCTAAGATTTTTATGCATCTAGACTTAAACACCATGAAGTATAAATGGCACTTACCATGTCATAAGCATCATTAAACTCTCTAAATGCATTTCTTGGAGTAAATAACAATAATGCAGATCCTTCCATTAAATATGGACTAAGAGTACTTGACTTAACGCCAGGAAAATTTATCCACATTGATACTTGATGAAGATTTGATGATATCCATGTGAAAAGATTATTTGTATTAGGCACTTTATCAGATTCATAGATCTAAGAAAAATAAGATGCTATATTTAAATGAAGTAAAAAATATTTTAATTGGAAGAAATAATTACCAATGTTTCGTTCCACAAATAAATTCTATATGAGGGAAGACTATTTACACCAAAACTATCTCGAGAATGACCTGTAACCACTGCAAATCCGATTTCATTATAAGGTTCATGATCTATCCATTTCAATGCAGTCTTATATAAAATATCATAACTTGTTGGAAAATATTGAAGTCAACATACCCAACAATAACAGCCTTAAAGAAAATTAAACTTAGCATATATATAATAAATAAATAAACATTTAAAATATTGATATTATTTACATCATAACGTGCTAATAAATCAACAATATCATCTGGCTTAGTAATCCTGTGCAGAGGGTTAATGCAGTGTTTAAAAATCTGGTCATATGCGATTTGCTTATTGGACCTCTGTATTGTATACTACCACCATAACAATTAACTATATAAAAAATTGGCCAAGACTGCACCTTGTAAAAAACATTTCATCTATTAAATATGTCTTAATATTGTTGTTAATAAATGACACACCTTTGTTGTATGCTTATCTCTACATTCACCACCTGGTGCCCAACAATTTATGGCCAAAAAGTTTATCTGTATGACAAATTTTGTAATATTAATCGAATTCCCCAAAATAATTTATATCCATTGTACAAAAAATATATACCCGATCTTTAAAAATATCAGCCACTTCATTAACTACCTTTGCAGCATATTGACTTTTAGCATCCCATGGAGCATAGTACATGAAAAACGAATATTCATAATGTCCAATACTATAAAACGCTCCTTCCAATTGACCCCCATACCAGTCTTGCACATTTGAATTTATGGAGAACAATGGCCCTGAGTATGGTGCTGGAGAAATAACTGGAATTCTTTCAACAATTTTCAATATTAATAGCGCTAAGTAGAAGATGAATATAATAATGCTCCAATGTAAAAAGTCTGCCACTCACGATCTTTCTATTGCTGAAAAAGCTACTCTAACAATTATCAGCAAAGACAGAAATATTTCTTTTCTATAATTATTCATGAGAAGCAGATAACGATTATTAATTTTTGAATGATCCTCGTTCATTGCCACATTGTTCGAATTATTTTTCTCTCCCGTACCGACATTGATTACCGATCTGTCAATGGCTCCTGTCATATGTGAAAGTATTACACGTCATAACCTATAGAAAATTTAAACGTCAAACACTAGATATGGTTGGTAGTTGTTTGAGTTGGCAACACTTGAACAAACATTTACTTACGAAATTTAAACTTTATTTACGTTAATGTAATATTGCATACAGTGTTTGAAATGGATGTAATAATTAATTTGTATTTTGCAGGATTTACGGTCAAATGATTGAGTTTGTGGCAACTGCAGGTGAGTCTGATCATATATTAAAGAAGAGTATGTATATGAGCATAAAATGTTGAAACCTTTTGTATAGTTTTATTTTCTCGAATATGATGATGAGAATAATGTGTATCTTGCGCACTTTTCATTAAAATCATAAAGTCTAAATAAGTAATATCGCAATTCTATAATTTGAAATACCTTCTACTTAATTATTAAATATTTAAGTCTTAGTCTTATATTAATATAGCCTTACCTTTCAGAAAAATCTAAAAGGTAGTAATTTAAATCTTGTTTTTGATGTCCAAAATGGCAGTAAAATGTAAGGTCATAATATTATGTTAAAATTCAATTATGATTTTGCAACCGACCACTAAGCACAATTCTTAAATAACATGAAAACAATTATAGATGGTAGAGTCTTGGATGTGTATTATTATTATTATTACTATTATATGTAATATATATATATATATATATATATAATGTATATACAAAAACTTATATAATAGAAGATGCTTTACAACTCAAAAATATAGTGTAACTTACCATAAAAACAATTTTGAAATGAAAACATACGCATTCCCACTACGTTTTGCTACAGGAACAAATTAAGTTTCTTCGAAATTTAATATTTACTTATTTAATTTATTTCCGAACAACAACATTCACTCATTGAATAAACCAAATTTGAATTGCAGTTTCTTCAAAATTTAATGTTTACTTATTTAATTTACTTAACAATGACATCACTCTCTGAATAAACCAAATAAATTCAAGTAATTTATTTAATCAAATCGTTTTTGAATGAATAAAAGATATTAAGTGATCTTTCAACTTTCAGCATGTAAAAATTTCACAACATTCTAATTGAAATTAAAAGTGAATACAACATGTATTACATGTATAAAACTACTAATTCGAATTATTGAGTGATTATTTTTCTCAAATTTTATTGAAAATCATGGTCATTTTTATACTAATTTGCATAAAAAATACAAATATAGCCGTTTTGAAAAATGAAATACAATTTTCGCAACACAATCACAAATGCATTTTAAAATCTAATTTATAATTTAGAAAAAGGTTTACAAACCCCTATTTTTTTTACAAAATTAATAAATCTCTTTAGATTTATTAAAAAATTTAAAATTCAAATTACTAAAAATTTAAATATTTTCTTAATACTTAAAAATATTAATAAAATACAAATTCTTACATAAATTTAATTATTTTTTAATTTTTTCGAGTTTTCAGCCAAAAAGTTTATTTTATTTATATATGTGTTCACAAATCGGAAAGTTTCACCAATTTTCCTTAAAGCACCAAGTCGCACACACTAGGAAGAATATTATAACCATTCTAACCATTTTTTTAAATATAATATCAACAGAGTTTTACATTTGCTCATGGATAACGATTACATTTTTGAATGTGAAATACACACACACACACACACACACACATATATATATATATATATATATATATATATATATATGTATATATATATATATGTTTGTTACACAAACTCCAAGCTGAAAACATGTTTCGTTTGGAATAAGCTTTTTAATAAAATATATAATTTATTTTTATTTTAATTTTACAATTATTTTAAATTTATCATAACTCGACGTTTATCAATTTGTGTTTCATAATTTTTTGTTGCAATTTTCGTGTTATTTTTGTGTTTTTTCAATTTATTTGTATGGTGAGTTCTTTACATTTGTTTATGTCTATGCTGTTTTTCATTTTTATATACTTTCACAATATATATTAGTTATAAAACAAATTTATTAAATTGATTAAATTTATCCTTTTTTACATGTTTTTATTTACATTTTTCTGTAATTGAATTTTTTATATTGTTTTAAATTGTAACCCTGAAATATTTAATTGTAGCACTGAAGATGGTTCAAAACAAGACCCGAAACGTATGTTTTCTGAATAAAAACATTTTATTTCAATAAAACTGTTTTTAATTACTGGATGGATGCCCAAGAACAATTTTATCATATTATTTCACCATCTGAAGAAAAACCTCTCGCTATATATATGTGTGTGTGTGTAATATATACGTAAATCAACCCATTGATTATAAAAAAATAGGACACAGATAATGGAAATTTTAATCACGTTGCTCCAGAATGTGTTAAGAAAATTAAATATTTATCGCCCAATTGCAGACAAAGTTTAACTGCTACACTTTAAATAACTAATGTAACATTTAACTTTTATAAGCAATTGATATATTTAATATGATATAATATATATTAATTTATATTCACAATTATCAATAATTTATATATAATATGATCCCGTAATGTTTTGATAATTTTAATTCATTCTTCCTAAGAATTCATATATGACTAATAAATAATATGATTCAATGCGTTCAATGCATATCATGATAATTTATTTAAAGTTTATTATAAAATATTCTTTATTACGTATTAATTTTTTTAAGTCATCATTCTCATAGTTTTGTTGTTGACTTTTTTTTATTCGCATAATAAAGAAAATAAATTATTATTAAACAAAAATTAAAAACTTTAACGAACAAATTAAAATTTTATCAGAAAAAATTGCACGATTTAACATTTAAATATGTTGAAATCATTGATTTGTTTTAATCAAAAAAACATGCAATATTATTTGAAAGAATTTGAAAAAATGTATATAGCATACAGTTCTAATAAGTAGGTTAAAAGCATTTGTTCAGCAGAAATCATTGTATGTATATAAAGATTAATTCAAAATTAGGTAATATTTCAATAAAAAAAATTAAACCACCCATTTCCTGCAACCAGAGGCACAACTTTGAACTCCCGAAACAGTCTGCCTGCTTTTTAACAACAGCATCGATTCAGTTGTACTAAGAATGTGGCATTTCCATGCATTACCACATATCAATGATTCGGTTCAACTCAAATTCCAATTAAACTAATGATTCATTTCTGATAAAGCAAAATAATCCAAATCTTAAGCTTCACTCAATTCTTGACTGAAAACAAAATGGTATACATAATTGACTAAATGAAATTATCGTGTGTTACTTCAAAGCAATGAAACTTGTTGGTAATTTTTCTCTATATTATTTATATCAATAACATTAAAACTCTTATACATAGTATTACACTCTCAAAGTATGTAATTATATTATAAAGTATTTATAATTGTATTATAAATAATCAAAATTCACTAAAATTATGCAAACATGCTATGTTTTATATAAAATGCTGATGAATAAGCAACAATTATTTATACAATATAGAATATAATAACTTTGTACTTTAGCATTAACTGGCAAAATTATGGTACAAATTTGATCTTAAAAATATGGTAAATCGCATAAAAAATAATTAAAACTTATATTCTCTTAAATAGTATGATATAAATCATATATATGCAATTTATATACAATTTAATATAATTTAATTTGTTTTCTTAGTACCATTTGATGACGATTGCTGGCCTTTAATTTTGTCAATTAAGTATATACAATACACATCCAGCATTATATAAATTAAAACATCGTTTTCAATAAAATTCACACGATTCATTCAATACTAAAATATACCTACACTATGGCCTTGTGGCGTGATTAAAAAGCTCTACGGTTTCGTCTGTTTCATTTTGAATGCGATAATTTGCACCTAGAAAATAATTATATAAATAGATAAATATGTAATATATAAATAAATCTATACATATGAATAAAATTGGCGTATATGTTTGTTATATTTAAATAGACTTTTTTTTAGAAATAGGGTACAAATATCAAATTAACATCTTTTAACATTTTTGTCTGTCTGTCTGTCGTTTGTTTGGGCTAATCCCCGAAACGATTGCACTGATTTTGACGAAACTTTTTTTGGCAAATAGCTCATGTAATTGGACGCAACTTAAGCTACTTTTATTCGAAAGAAGTATCTTATGGTATCTTAGCTCATCTAACTATACCTGAGATTTCGTCCAAGGAGAAAAATTAATTAATATATTATTATATCTTATAAAATTACCTTATACATAATGTTAATTCAAACTATTCTGTTACACTTATTACTTTTAAGTAATAATTATAAATCAGGTATATTTGTGTTCAATATTCAGATTTAGATTGAAATTGATCAATTATTTACAGATTATTTTATTAGTTAGTAACGATTTGTTGTTTCATAAAATAAATGTGGATTAGAAGTTAAATATCTCTAAAAACATGAAAAAAACAAAGAGTGTTGTTGTATTAGGCCAAGAAATAAATCGGACAAGTTAAAAAAAAAATCGATGTAAATTGGAACGCAACAAAATGAACTTGAAATTTTTGAGCAAATAAAAAACTAGTTGGTATTGATATTTTGCCTGGAGGCAAGTTACATGAACTTCCCGATTTGTGTAAATAATCGACTTAATCCATGATAGATAAATTAATTTAGAGTAGTTAAAAGCAGTGGCGTACCTAGGGCGGGGTGGTGTGGGCGGTCCGCCCCGGGCGGCACTTATTTTGGGGCGGCATTTTTTAGTTTACTTATACATAGTTGTAAAAAGCAACTTATTCATTTTATATTTATTAACTTCCGTATGGTATGTTATAGTAATGCGCCGAAAATCGAAAATGAAAATTTTTGCATTTCTTCACGTTTTGAAGGTTTCTGAACATTTTACTGGCATACCTCAGAAAAAATGGAAGTGTGTGTGTTTTGTGTGTCCGCATTTTTTGTGTTCACATTTTCGGGCGCGCGGATCAACCGAATTGAATGGTTCAAAAAACATTCGATTCCTAATCATAGGGAGATGTGCTGATTAGTTTT